ATTTGGCTGATTTGATTTGGGACATGAAAAATTTTCCTTAAAAGAAAAAAAGTTTGTACTATATACAAGGAGGTGCTAAAGTGTTACGTAAGGTGTGTTTTATAGAGTACTTTTGCTAAAGCTTGCAACAGTTTCAAAAAAGGTAAAATGCATCAATTTTGGATTAATTAAGTCTATAGGTACTATAGGCAAATTGCTATAATTATGTTTATTTCCAAATCATTTTTTTCAACTTTTTGCCTCACTTCCATGTGCACAGGGAGGGTACGGTCTGACAGTAAGGAGTAGGGGAAGGGGCTGGAGGGGGAAAAAGTTGGAGAGGAGGGACAGAGGGCAAAAGGGCTAGCCAACCTCCCCAGATTTATTTTTCCATTTGTAGCAGTGGGAAGGGAGAAAATTAAAGACAAACTTCCAATAAATAGATTTTATACCTGGAAAATTATATCAAATTTATAAATTTTCTGTAAATTGAATCTAATTTCTGGGGGGGGTCATCTTATGATCAGGGTCATCTTATATTCAGGTAAACACAGTGACTCACCATTATGATTACAGATACGGAAAGATGAGATTAGAAATTGTTGACGATGGCCAAATGACTTATTAGCAACAATAAGACAAAATTAACAATGTAAAAATGTTTATTAAATATTTGGCAAAACTTCCTGATATTATGATCTAGCAGACTGCAAAATAATGTTCCAAGAGAAATTGGGGAGGTCATTGCAAGGATCATTTAAATATAGACTGAACAAATCACCACAGCATGCAATGTTGGGAAGAGCTTAATGGTTAGCACTGGAAGGACTAGGTAGAATCAGTCTTCATGTCTAACTTTCTGATTCTTTGGTTCTCTGCCAATTATTAAAATATGCCAGCAAAGTATCAATATTATGAGTACAATGGGATTGGAAACTATTCTTTCAGTTTCCTTTTAAATGAATCTTTATTATATAGATATGCAAAGGAACTTACTCATATGTAAACATAGTGTTAGAATTTCAGTACTGAAGAAGAATAATGGCATCAAAAGAACATATTAGAGCCTTGTTACATGTTAATTTTAGGCAGGTTTTGGAGCTCTTAACCCCTGCATTGTCTACACATTAACACATGAAACTAGTTTTAAGCACTCTTTAGGTGGCTTAAAGTCATACTGCCCCTGCCTAGGTTTATCTCTGACCCGTGTTACCCAGCTTGTGCTACACTAATGTGTAGTGACTCTAGACTATATGTTAGTGTAAACCCCGCCCCCGTTGTTTCCCCTTCCCCCGTGGGCCTGGATCTGGCCCATTACTCCATCCTCCCAGTATTCCAGATCCCCATTCTCTGCCTCCCTCCCTTCAACTTACTCTTGGCTGCCTGCATTCTCTGTCCTGGGCAAGCAAACAAGGAAGGGTTAACAAAATCAGCAGTGGGGGAGGGGGGAATGAACAGACAGGTTAACCAGTCAATGTTTGCTCCCCTGAGACAGACAGACAGCAAGGACAGCTACAAGTAAGGGGGGGGACCCTGAGGGCAGAGGGGAGCCCCAAGATTTGGAAGGAACTGGGGGAGGCTTGGGTGGCAGGGGGAAACCTGAAATGGGAGGCGTGGATTCTTACCTTTTAACCCTTCAGGCCCCTGCTATCCCGAACCAGTGACTGCTCCAAACTTGAGCTAGCACTAACACAGTTCAAAATTTGAGCAGCTCACAATGGGTGTGTATACACAAGATGCTTTTCTGCTCAGTAGACTAATCTACTGTGCAGTAAAGTGTCATATTTAACCATGTGCTAGGCTACTGTGCAGTAAAATAGGCTGATACACAGTTATCTACTACCTGAAAATACAGGTAGTAGAGTAGCTACACATTACCTACTGTGCAGTAGCGTACTTGTAGATGCTGGCTGGAAGCAATTGGCACCCAGTCAGCCTAGGCAGCAGGGGGTCTACTGCTGCCTAATTAAGCCCTATGTGGTAGGAGCTATGCGGGCTGCAGGGGCAGCTGTCTCCCCACCATATGGGAATTGGACCATCCTGATCACCATATGGTCAAGAGACCTGTCCTGGCAGCTGGGATAGCTGCATTTCAACCAGGTAGGGATTGGGTTAGGACGTGATCCCCATGTGGCAGGGAAAGGTGTTCCCACCTGGAGGGGACAGCCATGTGGGGACTGGGAGGGTCCCGATCCCCACACAGCAAGGAAAAATATTTCTACCTGTTGGGGATGCTGCCTAGCAGCCAAATGTCAATTGGGACCCTCCGGATCCCCACATGGCTGCCAGGCAGCATCCCTGACAGACAGGTGGGGATGCCTCCTGGCTATGTGGGGATTGGGATCCTTAAAATCCCCACATGGTTGCCCCACCAGGCAGGGACACTTCTCCCAGCCATGCGGGGATTGGTTCTGATCCCCAACTGGCTGGGATACCGCAGTCCACCAGCCCCCAACCCCTTATTCCCCCAGGTTGGCACTCAGGGGGAGTCTGGAGCTACCCCTGGCTGCTGCAATGGGGCAGAGCAGGGAAGGGGGGTAGGAACATCTCTGTCTCACCTGTTCTGGTTGGGAATTAATTTGCTCCCAACCTAGTGCCTGTGTAGGCTCTTTTCCTGGGGGCAGTTTACTATGCATTAATAGCATGTGTAGATGCATCCAGTGTAAAGTGTAACAAGACCCCTAGATATTAAACTTCCCAAATAGTAGTTCTTAAAAGGTGTCCTATTTCATGCATATATTTAATTTAAATCCATCCCACCAATCAGAAATAAATTAAGATGGAATATTAACAATCACCTTTTATAAACTCTATCTTCTCTACTTGAATCTGTCCTCCATCTGCAGGGTAAAGGTATCGAGTGTTTCCAGAGACTTGGATGAGATCCTCTCCCATGTTGTAACCATGAAACTGGAAAAAAATGTCAAACTGTTTGAAATGTAAAGGCAGACAGACTGAAAGAGATAGATGGAGGACAAATCAACGTGACTAGGGCTGGCCAACTTTTGAGTGTATAGGAGTTGCAGTCTGCACAGACTGGGGACCATGTAGAGTTCTCCCCCCACTCAAAACACTGCCACATGCTCCCACCCAGATACTTCCTCACCATGTAGGCTCCCCCACCATGTGGGGCACCCTGGACCCCCACGCTCCATGGTTTGCACTGGCTTACCCCAGGAGTGAGGGCAGGAAGTGGAAGCTGGAAGAGGGAGTGGGATCCCAAAGGCTCTGGCAGCAGCAACAGGAGAATAATGCAGAGAAGCAGAAACCAGGTAGTTGCCCATAGGCCATGAGTTAACTCCTCATGAGCTACATACAGCCCATGGACCACAAGTTGGACAGCCATGTTCTGGGTATCTTTTTCTGTCTTGGGGTGTTGGGGTAGCAAAAGTAGTACCTTTGTTTAGGAGCTGCCTGCATCTAATGGACACTCCTTCTCAGATAAGGAGACATTAATGAGGTCAAGATATCAGAATCTTTGGGTATCTTTACACGTGCTCTGGGGATGGGGAGGCAGAGGAAGCAGGCTTTAATTAGCGCAGCTCTTGGGAACCTCTGTAATTAAAGCACCCACAGCTTCTCATGTATTCAGCATCCTGCACTTCAAAATGGCAGTG